TAGTTCTTGGGGTTGGAAAGCCCAAGACTTAAGTAGCCACAAGATTTAATTCTGAGGTCTCTGCGCTGGGCTCAGAAGCAGTCAACTTTGCACTGTGTCCTCATACACCCTTTCTCATACAAACACATCTTGTGACTTTCTCTGTATGGTCTGATTTTCTTTTCATACAAGACACAAGTGAAATTTGATTAGAATTGAACTTAAAATTGTGAGTGGTTAAAAATGAGCCATTTCAAAGAAACCATAAGGCCAAAATCTAGATGACTTTGGTTGAAGAAATAATAAACAGCAATTAAGAAAATGTAAAAGGAAGATATTTAAAACTTTGATTTCATAATGATAAAATCCTAGAGTTCTTACTAAAATTTTGTATTTTAATAATTTTATAAAATTATTATGGTTATCCTCAAAAGTCCAGAGAATTTTTTATGGTGCAGCTAAATAAAAATAAAATAAAGAACATGTCAACTTGAATAGTTAACTCCCTCCGAAAATGTTCAATTCATTTCTAGAGTTCTGTAAACAGAAAATATTTCAGAGTTTAAAATCTTTTTAGCTGGCATGGTAGGGGGGGGGAAGCTTTTTTGGTTTCAGAAACATTTAATACATATTAAATTTAGCCAAGCCTATTCATTTTGGTGCCAGTGTAAACTATTTCGGTCACTTTGAAAACCAGTATTGAGATTCTTCAAAACAACAAAATTTGCTGGGCGCGGTGGCACACATCTGTAATCCCAGCACTCGGGAGGCTGAGGCAGCAGGATTGTTGTGAGTTCGAGACCAACCTGGGCTACAAAGTAAGCTCAAGGCCAGCCTGAACTGCATAGTCAGACCTTGTCTCAAAAAGAAGGACAAAAAAAAAAAAAAACACTAGGACTTCCACTTGACCCAGCTATACCCTTTCTAGGTATTTCCTCCAAAGAGCTAAAGTCATCAAATTATGCGGTACATATATGCCCACATGCCCGTGCTTATGGCAGCACAATTCACAATAGCTAAGTCTTGGAAGTCGTGTCTATGTCCATTGACAGATGAACAGATGAAGATACTGTGGTTATTTATATATGATAGGGTACTATTCTGCAATGGAAAGGACAAATGAGTCGTTTGTAGGAAAATGGTTGTACTTTGGGATTATAATGTTAAGTGAAATAAAACAGACACAGAAGCTTACATATCCCATGATTTCTTTCATATGAGAATCCCAAACAAATAAGGAACAAAATAAATGGCAGACAGAGAATTTGAAAGTGACGGGGACCAAGAGATAAAGTGAGGGGGATAAGAGGAGGATGGAAAGAACAGTAGAGGTGTGCTGTGTACGTGTACACACTCTCCATGAAGAGCCAAGTCACTGTGCACTGCAAGCACGTAGCAATGAAAAATACTATCATTTACTGACTTAGCTATCTGCTCTGTTTATCTGTCTGTCTGTCTGTCTGTCTCTGTCTTGCTAGCTAGCTTGCTATAGATCGATCTAACCATCAGTCTGTCCAGAAGTAGAGAGGTGTATTACATGTCCTCAACCATTGAGAAGGTCAGAGAAGACAATCGTATGGTGAAACAGAGGTTTACAATATAAAATCAAATCAAATTTATTGAATCAAAGTTTTCCATTACATGGGTACCTTCAGAAATGAAAGCACAAAGACCCTGAGAAAACTTTGTATACTTCGTTCTTCGATACCAAGTGGATCTCCCTGTGGAAATAGGATTGGACAGAAAGGGTATGATACAATGATGATACATGCAGGGCGAATCTTGCAAGCCTTGTCTGCTCCAGCTCTTCCTGGTCTCTGTGTATAGCATTTCTTCCTTTAAGGTAGGGCAGGACTGCATTGGAATGAGACCTTATGACTTAATAGCAGAAACAATAGTTTCTTTGTGGCTAATGCCTCCAGAGAGAAGTGGAGGAAGGTTACAGTAGTTGTTCTCACTTTTATGACTTGATTTGGGAAAAAAGATTCCTAGTTCCCATGGAAAAAAGGGAACCTAGTTTCTAAGATTCATTTTGGGGTAGAGGAAAGAGAGTGAATAAGAGAGCAAGAGAAGATCATAATCTCTACTTCTGAATTCCTGCAATATTCTTTAGCCCAAAGTATACCAGACTTGGAGGTGTTACTTTCTAAGACTCAGTATTATCTATACATTTTTATTTATTGATTTGTTTGCTTGAACACTGTGTCTAATTGCCTAAACTCTCCAGTTTTAACATGAACTACATTAAAGATAGACAGAAACATACTGTAAGGGAAGGAAATAAAATCGGTTATCCATAATTGCAAAATATTTACCTTAACAGAATCTTCTGTGAGGCCTATTTCAAACCTGATGATTTTTAACAATACCCATTATTTCAATAGGACAGAATTTTTCAGAAGTATGAAAGAACTAAAAGAATATGTGTATGCTAGCAAGCAACTCTTTTGTGTGAAATCACAATTACATAGACTAAAGCAACTGCATGCTCAGCATGAGGGCCACCGAGTGGAGTCTGGTTTATACTTTATCTGAACCCAAGGTGCTTGAAATGGCATTTGAAACAGTAGCTCTGGGCCCTGGCTGATATTCTAATGCAAAGGGACTCAAATTCAAAACACACCCTACTCCTGCAGATTTCTAAAGACAGAGATACAATTCACACTTTTAAAAGTCCTGGTTGCTGACTGGATGAAAATAAGCTTCTTGGAGTTTTGGGAACATTTAAATATTTATGGTTCCATAAAAAAACTATATAATTCAGGAATGATACTATAATAGATGACCTAAAATCCAGTATCTGGTACATTGCAATATAAATTTTCTGTTTATCCCTGCAGACCATGATAGAAATTGCCATAAAGGTGTTCATTCTTCTACCTTGTTTTGAAAACATGAATGGTAAGGTTGGCACATGTAATTTTCTTAGTCTCTCTGTTGACAGAACGACATTCACTGAAGCAGTATGTTACCAAGGAAGTATTTAAAGGCACAGAGTAGAAAATATTGAGGTTCAGATTACAGAAATAACCTCTTAAAGGGAAAGGAAAAAAATCTTTTTCTACACCCATCTTATTTTTTCCACTTGGGACCATGCACATTTGACAAACAAAATATATTAACAAAGAAACCTATACACATGTATTTAATAGGGTATAGAGAAAAGGAAGAATTGAAAAAAGTGTTAAACCTGGGTGTTTTGTTGAATCATGAAAGGTTATAGAAAAATAGGACTGTAGCAAGGTCTGCTTACCAGTTTTTTCCTCTATGTCCCTCTATCCTCAGAATTAGGCATATTCCTTTTCTCTGTGGATATGGATAGACCGCTTTCATAGGAGTGTGTCTTATGAACTGATTCAGGGAAGAGGGAGGATTTAGGACAGCTCTTCCTATGCCTCTGTTTCTCAAATTCCTTCAAATTATAGTATTCAGCATACCATATTTTGAGTCGTCTGTACTGAAGATGTCACTCTGTTTACTCAATCAAAAGTCCGTACTAAGTCCAAGCAAGGAAGTATTTAAATAATAGGATGTTCTCTTCACTTGTGGTTGTGACTTCTCTGAAGCAGTTACCCATAGAATGGTCAGTAGGGTGCAACAAACCTTATGAGGGATAGAGACTTAGAAATAAGAGACCACATTCACATAACAATGTGGTGTATAATTACAATTGTTCCATTTTATTATTACTTGTGTTTTTGCTCACTAGGCCTAATGTATAAATAAACTTTCTTATAAGTGTGCATGTAAAGGAGAACTCATACCGTACTTTGAGTTTGGTACTGTTTTGGCTACTCCTGCCAGCTTGAAGCATCTTGAAAAATATATCCCATGAATAAGGAGAGACTATTGTAATTATCAAGAGTTGAAAGCGTCAATTTCATAAAAATATTGACTGATCAAGAATTAGAAATTTATTTATGAAATTATTGAAGGAGCCAGGCTAGTTTTCCTAATCAAAAAGCATTATTAAATTTGGCTACTGACAAGCATTGTCAAAAAAAATAATGCTTAAATGAGATTTGTAAGTTAAGTATAAAAATGTTAGATGCCTCAGAGGTTAATACAACCATGATCTTTAGGGTATCCTTTCTACTTGAAAATTATCTTCAAATTAACATGAAATGTCATGGGATATAGAACTTGATCAAGTAGAAAACACTCAAGTGAAACACAGACACTTTCTTCTACATCTGCACTATCCATAGCAGCCACTTGTTACAAGTTTAATATACTAACAAGCACACAACTGCTGAGGTTATTTGAATTTAGACAAAGTTAATTAAAATGCAATGCACTGAAGATTCAGTTTCCCAGTCACAGTGGCCACGAACTGGTCAATAAACACTTTTGATTAGTGGCTACCTTACTGGAAAGTAGAGATAAGGAATATTTCCTTCATCATAAAAAATGCTATTGGATTGCACTCCAGAGAATGAATCAGTCCTCAACTAGGCCTTTTCAATATCTCAGCATACCTCTGAAAAAATGGCCTTGCTTCTTTTGCCTTATTTCTAAAGGATTTTTTTAAGTAAAGGAATCTTCTGCTCTTTTTTGTACCTGCGAAATCTCTGTGCATTTGAGGGGAATAATAGCACAGAATCTGGGAATAAAGGATGATCTCACATTTATGAGAGGTGTCCTCATATTACTACAGATTCTTAGCTGTGCTTTTGAACCTGTTGTGTTCATAGAATTAAATTACCTATTTTGGATAAAGGCAAATGTAAGAGAAATGTTATACTACAAATAACTATATTTTAAGATTTAGAAATTCTTTGTCCGTTTGTCTAGGTCATCTTCAATCTTCTGATAGCAAGAAGAAAGGTATAAAAAGCAATTATTTTACATACTAAAGTCATTGGCTTTGTTGTAACAAGACATTTTTTGTTTGTAGTGTATGGTAAAATTACCCATCCTTTAGGAGTAGCCTTTGTGATGGTTTGGGCAGTCATAGACTTTTTGGCTTATGATGACAAATCTCTACCCATGATTCAGTGTTTTATGTACGTGTTTTTCAGATGTGGAACAGATGGCCATTGACTGGCTCACCAGAAATCTTTATTTTGCGGACCATGTCAGTGACAGAATCTTTGCTTGTAATTTCAACGGATCTGTGTGTGTCACCTTGATTGACCTCGACCTTCAGAATCCTAAGGCAATAGCAGTAGATCCAATTGCAGGGTAAGACATTCTTCTTTATCATGTTTGCTTAGTGAAAATTTCTATTAAAAACAATAAAATCTGAAAAGATTCATGGAAAATGGGAAAGAAAATGCAACATTTTAAAAGAAAATTGTTGATTATACTTCTTGGATTGCAGGCAAGAATAAAGACTCTAATTAACTAATCAGAAGCTGGGGAAATATCAGTTCCATAAATGGTCAATATTTCAAGCCTACCCTAAGACACTACAACCTTCCTCCCTTGCAAGAATTACTTTATGGTCACCAAAGGATAGTTTTAGGATAAAGAGACAGACTTTTCGTTACCTAGCAGAGGACTTTGTAGTTAGCAAAGTACACAGATGCTACTTGAATGATATTTCATTACCATATTTATTTCCAGTATCACATTTAAAATTTATAAATGAGGTACAAAGCATTTTCAAGAGTATTACTAAACCATTAAGGTATCTTTGCTAGACTCTTGCATTGATAACTATTGAAATGTAAACTGGATATCACTGTGGAGTTAATGAATTCCTCCTCAGAATCCATCTTCTTTTATTGAAACATTTTAATTTGCAAGCCACTTTATTGGTTAAAAAGAGGCCTTGTTTTATAAGACCTTCTTTTAGATAATAGGCTCATTAATCTTTTTTAATGTTTCACTGTTTGTCAAAATACAGCCATAAAATGTTTAAATTACAGTCAACTTCATTCATACATTTAGAAAATCAATACAGAAACTAATTATGCCTTTATTTTACAAATATTTTGGTATTATTAGTGAGCCAGGGGCAGAAAATGGAGTTCCATAAATTCAATTTTTTTGCCTGTCAGTAGTGGGCAAGGAAATTAATGACAAATAAATGGCATAGTGTACCGCTCAAATTAATGACATAGTCTACTACTTTAATTGAAGTAGCTGTTGTTTTAGAAGATCTACTTTGTAGACGAGAGCTGAAAGCTGAAATTTTACTATTCTTGTGTTGTTCTAGTAGTCCTCAGGCAGTTCAGGCTGAAATTTCTTTCTTTTTTTTTTTTTCCCTGGTATCGGGAATCGAACTCATGACCTCACGATTGCCAGGCAGGCACTGTGCCTCTGAGCTAAATCCCCAGCCCGAGGCTGAAATTTCTGATGGAATATATCCTAGGTTGCCATAAGCCTCCATTCAATAAATGGGAAAATATTTACCGAAGAAACAGCTGTCATCCATATGTGGACTTTTGTCACTCTTTACTTAAAGTCTGATTGAATATTAAGATGCATCATCACAATGGTTCTGATTTTGACAAGAACAGCTTGCCGTAAGATCTCTGCTAGGAAGGCTGTGTAATATAATTCTTGAATGCAGCTCTATTTGTATTTGCAGCAGATGGTTACTTGACTGCAGTGATACTTCAAAAGACGTTAGTAAAAGAAGTTGTATTTAAACTGATTTGTTTGGGTGTTTGGATAAGGATAGTAAGAAAGAATTGGAAATTTACAAATGTGCTAACGACATTCTTTTTGCGCCCTGCTTAATAGTATATTTGCCTATGTTTTTTTCTTCCTGTACTGACTTTCAGATTAGCCTTTAGATTGCCTCACCTCTCCAAAATGTTAAGAGGTGGAGTTACTGCATTTATCCTCTCGTTCCCCTGCTTTACTCTGTCCACATTATGAGCAGTGATTCAGACACTCTCAAAGCCACCAGTCTGAAATACAATGTATGTGAAACCTGTCTCATTTTATGAACAACAACACATTTTAAGTTTTCAAGCTTCCCATTTCTCCCTGTCACTGTATGGAAATAATCATATTTTGTCATTTTTGGGCACAGAATTAAAAGTAGAAGCCCTCACATTGCTTGTACTTATTCTCTGCTGAATTTCTTTGGGCCTGTTTAAGTGGAATTTTGTCATGTATCACTTAGCGCCATGGATCCTTTAGAATCCTTTGTTTGCTTTGTTTCTCTAGCACTGTTTTTCAGTCATTAAATGTAGATATCAGAGAAGGAAAATCTCTGTCCTTTTAAAAATATTGGCCTATGGTCAAAAGCACACTTGCATATTCATTCTGCTTTTGCCTTAGTAGAAATTTGGCCAAGAGGAATGTGGTGCTACATTTGGCCTTACTCTAGATAAACATGAAATAACTCTTTCCTCACCTTCTAAAGGGGAAACATTGCACCACTAAAATTTCTGTTGTGTTTTTCTAATTGGCCAGAGTGGTACATATTTGGCTATGTCTGTTTTAACTTTATTGTAGAAATATAACACTATAATAATTATCTGACCTGACTTTTAGAGTTTGACCTTAATGGGTTTAAAAATACCAGATTTGTTTTACAACCCAAGCAGCATTTACTTGGCTGTATATTTTTTAATAATACACCCAGAATTTTTTATTCAGCTGAACTTATTAAATTGGGAACAGAGTTGATTATGAAATTTGTCCATAAAATAATTGTGAGCAATATATATTTGGCCATATTTTAAGCTTGGCTTTTCTCTACCTTCTCTCTCTCTCTCTCTCTCTCTATCTCTCTCTCTCTCTCTCTCTCTCTCTCTCTCTCTCTCTCTCTCTCAATTTATATATTTTTGCTTTTTTGAATGGAGCAAGTTGGAAATTAGTTCTATACTGAAACATGCCCTGCTATTGATTAGTGGTAAGACTTTGCTGTAGTGTATGAATAAATATTTACTTTAGATGAAATTTTTTTTACCACATCATACTTAACACTACATAAGTTTTAAAAAGAGTTTTCCCAGTTTCAAGAAAAGTTGTTCCTCATTTCAAATATCAGTTAAATATTTCTGCTTCAAATACATACAGATATATGCATATGTGAAATGTTTTTCAAGTATTAAACAGAATTGTGACCGAAATTTGTCTCTTTTTTTCTCCCCAATAAAAATATAAATGCTTGAGTCATACATGAGATAATTTGGTTAATCGAAGGATTAACTGAAGTAAAAAGTGTGAAATGAATCCATATCATATACTTACTCCTAAATTGTGCTCTGGTGGTTAATTTAGTACTTGTAGTCTCAAAAACTGTCAGGAAATTAAATAAGAGTATATCACTGTGATCAATTACAGATGCAGCAGGTTAAAATATAGTAGATAGATATATCATAAACATATGCCTAGGATTTTACAATGCAATTTGTTCATTGACAAGAGTTAAGACTGCACAACTCAAATAACTTGTTTAAGAAGTAAAACATTTAAAAGTAAATTTTATGAAGTCAGAGAGATTTTGTTTGAATTGTAGAACTAGCACTTTGGTTGGAATCATGGACAAGTCACATATACCCATGTAAAACAGGGAAAATGAGACACTTTTTGTTATACACTGGAGGCAAAGACATCAGGACAAGTACAACGGGAATGGTTATTCAAACAAGGGTACAGAAAGGTAATATTTATATATAAATTTATTCTTTAAACAAGTATTTATTAAGAACATATTTTATTGTGGTACTATGGATGATACAAGCACCTAGGACATATCAGTAACACAAGAGCTGGTATTATTCCTTCTTTCATGATACTTACATACCAGTGATGGAAAGTATTAGATTTATGAAGTCCAAACCATTCCTTGCAAATGATAGTTGTCGTTTGAGATACAACTAGCTGTTTTACTAATACATTTGAGAGATCAAATTTGATGATTGGTGTATATTATATCACTCTAATTGGACACTTACAGAGGCATTTTGGCTCATCCAATTCTCTAAGAACTATAGCAGGCAAAACTATTTGCCTTGGTGTACGCTAGCATTTCCAAAATGTATTTAACCACAAAATCTCTTTTTTGGGGCTGGGGATTTATTTTAGCTGCATAGCGCCTGCCTGGCAAGCCCAAGGTCGTGAGTTCA